GCTGACAGGTTTGCCCAGGACGCCACATTCGCAGAGAGCGTGCTGAACGAGGGGGAGAACGAGTACGATTGTGAAAGGTACGACCTCCTCAAGTCTGCACATTTGCCAAAGCCAGGTCGTACCAAGGCTCAGGTCAAGATGGGTGTTTCTGAGCAATCTCAGCTGGAGCACAACGCGATGAGGCTGGTTTACTTGGATTTGGCAAGCCGTCTTGATGTCCCGAAATCGTTCAGGTACATCGACCAACCATGGTTCTACATGTACCGTACGGAAATCTACTCCGAGGAAGAGTACATTGACTATCTCAACCGGAATCCTGGACACAATCTTTTGTTGTCTTGTACTGGTGTTGACAACATTGCCGTTCATGATGCTGAACGTCATTTGAGGTGGATCAAGGGACAAAACGAGGAGCTGTACAAGCAGAACGCTGCAGAGAAGAAGAAGCAGTCTGACAGGGCTCGCGAGCAGAATGAGGCCAAGCGCAAAGCTGAGCAGACTGGAGCGTACGGCCAAGGTCCCTCCAAGAAAGGCACCGCCAAACCGGTTGCCCGACCATCCACCGTAGAGGTAGCCTCATCATCCACGTCAGCAAGTCAGTGGCTCAATCGCCCTCAGCAAAGTCATTCCCGTGAAGATCGACAGTTCACCAATGAGTGGCAGAAGTGGCATGGGCGCTGGTACCAAAAGGTTATCAGGCATGGCCGAGTCGAATGGGAAGAGGGATAAATTTTGACACTGCTTGCATTGACGATCGTTTGTATATAGCCGCTGTACTTTTGTATGTTTTCCTCAGGTCTGCAAAGAGCTGGCTCGGTAAGGCAGGTGTAAAAGCCTCGCCCTAGTAAGTGGGCAGCCTTGCCGTGTCCGGCTCACCTGAGGGGGGTGTATTTGCATCCCATATAAAACATAGGTGCATCATAGCATGCTGACTAGCATTCGCGGCTCAGGTGAAAAAGGGTCTGAGTTGCGTAGCTTAACGGTTGTTTCCCCAGTGTTTAGGTTTATCAGTCCATTTGGGTGTAATAGGAATTGCCCCAGCTGAAACCTGAAAATACAAAACCAAACAAGTTCTTTGCTGAAAGTTATTTGTGCAGCGTGCTCCAATTGGATTTTAGTCAACTGGGTGATAGTTCCAAGCTAGAAGCCCTGCGCAAAGAACCTGAAGATCGCTTGCCAGCTGCTCAAGTGGCACTGGAAGGCTTTGAGGCACAAGGAGTGAAACTTACTGGGTTGTGCAAGAGCGTGAAGAGAGCATTGCAACAACTGAAGCAAAAGTAATGATGATCGAGTTGCCCAAACGCCAACACTTGCCTCGGGCAGTCCAACTTGAATGATTCTCGGGTGGTAAAAAATGCTCTTGGTGTGAAGTCTTTGTCCTTCCCTCTCATTGCATGCGTTCCTGCAAGACTGTGCGGAAACTTGCTTGATTTTGTCAACGGCAGGGGAAATCAAAACATTGGAAGATGAAAGGTTGTAGATCACAAGTTTGATGGTACTGGTACACTTGGTGATGTAAACCAGCATACGTTCAATCTTAGCACATTCCTAGAACCCCCCCCCTACAATACACAAATCGAGCAAGTGGGCCCACCGTCGCTCGCATCAGCAGGGGGTACCAAATGGACCCAAATGGATCCTTGGAATCCAAATGGCCCCAAATTTTCTCCCGCAGTCACCGCATCAGTCTACACTGAGGTTTGAGCATCTTTGCGAGGCCCGTGGCTCTTGATCCAGCGGTTGGGGTGTGATTTCTCGAGTGCCTAAGTTGAGCCAAGAGGTCCAGAGCAAGTGGCACTTGCGCTTCAACATAGCTCTCACGCAGTTTCACGACTTTTCTGGGGCTAAGAAATGATGTGAATGAAAATTATGACTCAAAGTCCCGAAACAAAGCTAATCACTTTTTTGTTGTTTCAAGGTAGTATATCGGGATCAATAGGATGACTTGTCTGTCAGAACCATCTGCCTGGGCTTCACGGCTTCACACAGGATGAGCAGGAGCGAAATCTGGTCCTCTCCTCCTTGAGGGAAGCATCAGGCCACCTCTGAGGCATTGAAACTTTAGGTGGCATGATTCCTCCAACTGGGAGCCTTGGAATATTTTCCAAGTACTCAGCCCTTCCTGATCCCAATCATCGTAAGAAAAGAGAGCACTGGTTCGAAAAATGACCGACCAACTCACTGACGATCCACGGGTTGTCGTTTGCAACAGGTTCCGCATTTCAAAAGCTGGTGGTTCCCAGATGGATGAAGTTGGCTCAACGCCCGGACCTCTCAGACATGTCATGCGAAGTGAATGGCTTGATGTCGAAATTCTGAATGGCACACTGCACGGGTGCAGGGACATACTGCACCTCGCCACACTAAGAATCGCAATTTTTCTCACACTCTTAGACTACTGCTGTACCACTTGATACCGGTTGACTGTTCTCCTCAGCCACCAACACACATGAGATTCCTGACCCTGCCATTTTGGGCATCCTGAATCAGTTGGCCCATTGCGGTTGCCGGGGATCCCAGCTCCAGCCACCAGCCCCGCGCTGAGTCTTACCACCGGAGATGAAGATGGAAATGGAAGCGTCAAAGTCTGCGCACTCAGATGGAGGCAAAACCACTGCTTGTGAGCAGGAAAATCTGGGTGGGATAGGGGTGGTGATCAATATTGCAGGAGCTAAATACACACACACACACATCAATACATCTCAGAATACACAATTATAATACATATACACATATTATACGTATATATATATATAATATACACATATCATTACATATCTATACATACACATGCACACATTAAAGGATACCAACAACCAACCAACCAATCAACAACTGCAACGGACGGCAAACGTCCAAGCAGAGCAACTGCTGAAGCAGTGGGTCGCACACACACACACACATTAGATACATCTATGCAGGATACATATGTTATCGATGCAGAAACAGTAGGGGTCCTTGCCCATCACTGTGTAGACACACAGTTTACATGCCCTGATATTGAAAGGTACTTCCTGCTTCAACGGTCATGGGAAGGGTGGTTGGCTTGTTATCTGGTCCATGATGCCAGGGAGTAAAATGCATGCGCAAACGAGCCTCAATGAAGCCAGCGATGTGCAGATGTGTATATTGGACCACAATTTTCCACATGTTGTCTCAAGCACCTAGCAGACAACTCAATCTGATGTCGCCACCCCTACAACTCATAGCGGCATAGAATTTCGATGTTGCACTTGAGGCAACGTTTCTCAAGCCTCCCCGAAGGTGCGCATTTGGGGAAGTCTCTTCCCGAGCGCACCCTGGTGGTTTCGTAGGTTTGAAAAGCAGCCATTTGACCTTGAACATGAGGAAATGTTTGGGGCTACAGCTACAAATTCTGATCCAAGCATCTGAATTGGCACTGAAAAAAGTGACAACTTGGACAACGATGTTTCCTACTTACTTTTCTTTCACCCCTTTTGTTTTCTTTCGAATTCAAGCAACCCGCCCTCAGCCTGAGCTTGGAAGGCGCTGGAATGTCCCGGCCGATGGACCATGGCCGAAGGCGCATTATTTTTCCCTCCTTGGCATCTTATCTTGAAAAGCCTGCAAGGCAAGTTAGGATTTATTTGCACCGCAACAAGCACATGTAAGTGACATAAGGATTCACATTCAGGGAACCATGACATCTGTGATATGTTGAGCACTCGTCGAGGACATGGCTCTCCAAGATTAGTTAGAATTTTGTTAGTACATACATGTCCTGCATTGAGTGTACTTCAACCAGCCGATGGTCGAATGCTTGTGGGACCGCGCATGCTATCTCGATTTTGCTGGTGAACCTCCCCAAGCACCCCTCCTTTTGAAACCCTTTTACCCCGTGTCACATCCGGGGCCATTGGCGAAACCATGGCATTTGTGCCAATTTTCCCAGCTACAGGATGGGCATTCGAGTGCCATCAGCAAGCACTGCACTTTGAGCGGCCTGAGATGGGTGGGGGGACAGGATGGATTGCTGTGGAGCGAATATGATATGATTTGAGTTTGCACCTTCAAGGGGTTTAGCAAAGCTATAGTTACAATGCCACAGCGAGAATGAAGCAGTTGAACTCTCCCATGATTGGATAACCACCGGTGTGTACATAGCAAGCGACAGCTTGGCGGACTGGCAAGCATGTGCCAAGATCAAGGGAAAAAGGTTCGCGCGGGACATGGCTATGATTTCAGAGTAGTGGTACACAAATGACAACTTGAATGGAGAGAAGGTTTGCAATCTCACCGACCAAAAGCAAATCTGTGCAGGAAACATTACAATCCAAAGGCAAGTCACCGATAATCTGCAGAGCTGTATCACAGATTGTATCCATTGATGCAAATTTCACAAAATGGCCATTGACTTTGAGTGTGGAAAAGCAGGGGCATTGTTTTGGGATGGTAGTTTTGGGTGCTCGGCATTTGTTGAGCTACGCCCCACATGGCTCATGGGTGGTGTTTCGTTGACCATTCGCCATGACACAACTCAAGGGGTGGGGCGGTGAGCCATCGAAGCGGGTTGTGAGAGGGGCCAGGGACTCAGCGTTATCACAAGCTGAGCTCAACTGAACCTCCAGGGTGAAGGGGTTTTAAGTGGTGGTATTGTTATGTGCCCTGAATTTGTCTTTCACACACCCTGTGATCCCTGTCTGCAGGAACGGATTGAGGGGCACCGGCCATGTAAAACAAATCCCAATAGGAGAGATTTGGCTGCTTCCCCAACAGATTTTTCATGAACGGATTCTTTTCCAGTTGGTTGATGTTGGTTTTCCATACATAGCCTACCTGCAGCAGAACCCAGTTGATTGGCTGACCTGGAACTTTAGCTGGGGGTGTCATGCCGCGAAGGTGAGATGTGGTCGAAGCAGAAGTCACCACGCTTCGCAGTCGAGAAACCTGCGAATCCTGCAGGGGAACCCTGCGATTTCCTGGGGGTTCTGGTGGCAGTGCTTCCTACTAGTAGTTGGCAAGCTGCAGAAAACACCAAAATGACAGTGGTTGAATTGAAACTTAGTTGGATTACTCTAAAATGTAAGGAAGTTTCAAGTTTCCCAGAACTGGAAGAAGAATCCACAGAACCCCCCTTTGAATTATTCGGAAATGTATGGAAATACCATAGTTTCCCACTTGAAAACTCCTCTCAACACCACTCAAAGATCCTCAGCCCATCCCATCCCCATAGCTGCCACCACTGCCCCGAGATCGGTCCGGGCTACTACGATCTTCCCAGCCTTCTGGACGAGCATTCCGTCACCATCACGGCCTCCGAGCGTTTCCAGGCACGGGCCGAATTTTGGACCTTTTTTTTGGGTCAGAGGATGGTTTGGCTCTTGCAACTGATATGCTGAGGCCATTCCAGGAAACCATTCCTGGCAGTCAAAAGGTGATATGAGTGGTGAATCGTCTTATGAGTCTATGGTGTTCCAATGTGTTCCAATCCCTCAACGGACCTTAGAGCCCTTCACTCCGTCAGGAACAGATGCCGGGTGAGACCCCTGGTCCAGGGAGCTACACCCAGGTGCGCCGGGTGCGGTGTGGATCATGGCGTGCAGGTCAGAAGGTTGAACACAACCCTCACGGCAATTAAGATGGACCTTTGAACATAGCACATGTTTAGTAGAAACTAATCTTCCGACCCCCTAGTTGGCACGAACTATGTGATCTATGTCAATTTACAGCAGGGTATATTCTTCGTGAATAAATCAATAAATAAACACACCATCACTGGCTGGTTATCCAAGTGTTCATTTGCCTCCTGGGGTCCCAGCTTCAGGCAGGAAAGGCCGCACGGCCGAAGCAGAGTAAGGACGGCCTGTGACACGGTTGGACGGATCAATGAAGCTCAGGGACCAACATATGTTGCTGATTCTTCAGTCTTAAACTCTTGGTTTTGCAACCCCCAAATAGATAGAAACAATTGAAACCTGGAAAGTATGAAAAACACCCAGCCTTTGTGGGTGTTGCTGATGATGGGAGGCGCATTTGCAAACTCTACATTAATAAGTCTCCACATTTCCCTTCTTTCAGAGCTGATGCTTTGCCCAAATCCACATCCAACAGGAATTCTTCACAATTCTTCCATTTTGAAGTTGAAGATCGCTGTGAAGAATCAAAATACCCACCATCTACTTTGATCCATGATCTCCCATTTGCAATTGACGTTTGATCTCGAGGTAGAATCGAAGAGTTTTGAGACTTACTTTGATTATTTGTTTAAAGATCAACGACTTTTCTCCTGGATATTCTGGATCTGTTTGCAGAGGAAACTTCGATGACCACATGTCCTGCCAGGAGAACCGGCCTCCGTCGCCTGCCAAGGGTGCGAGCTTGAAGCTGGGGCAAAAGGAGGCGGGGATTTTCGGGGCGCCCGCTAAAGTAATGGAGCTAAGTGACGTCCTAGTTGGGGGTCAACACGATTGGAGAATCCAAGAGGAATGGGGATACCATCCCAAACACGTTTTGAAGATGTTTTTTTGCTATTTTTGGATGGTTTAACATTGGTTCAGCATGATTTTGATGTGAATTTATGCAGCCAAAGCCAAAGCCAGGGATTCAGCCACCAAAACAGGGGATTTGAACGCCGCAAGTGGTGATTTGTTTGCCAGAGTTGGGTGAAAGATGGGGATGAACATCCATTAAAAGCAGCGATCTTCCAGCACCCTTTAAGGGTGCAATGGGGTAGGGCATTGAGAGGGAAATCAGGTTAAAGTAGCTGCAATACCTCATCCCAACTTTGTCTTGGCAAAAGAGTTCGAAGGGAGATGAACCGAGATTGTGTGAGAAGGGACCTGAGTTCCACTAACACCCCAAGAATTTCTACTTCAGATGTTCTGAGCTTCTGGGATCATTGGTGAACATACGTGAAAATGCCTGGCTGAAGATTTAGGTGATTCCTTTGGATATAATTGGTGATCCTGCCTGCAAAACTGCCACTTTTGGTGGTTGTGAAGCGCCATTTTGCTGGCAATTTCCCTGGAATCCCTCAATTCCTGGCTTCAGGGAAAGGACGAGTTGCAACATCAACTTCAAGAGCAGGTGCCCAGCAGTGCGGTGTGCTGGTCAGGATTTAGGACGTCAGTGGATTCATAGTTTTATAGACCTTGGATGACTCGTTGGTTTGTTCATTTGCGGGTCGTTTGTTTCGTGGGCCATTGGTCGTTCTTTTATGGGGCCCTTAACAGGAACGTCTGCGTGCGCAAGCCGAGCAGCGTGTCAAGCAGTGGAGCCCTCAGTCCTCAACTCCTCCAAGGGGTCAAGGCTGTTGGTGTTGTGGATCCTTGTGGCTAAAAAGGACATACCCTCTGGTAAACATACACAAAACTATGGAAAATCACCATTTTTCATGGGAAAACTCACTATACCTGGCCATTTTCAATAGCAAACTGTTAAATTACCAGAGGGTACCATGGCATACCACACCGAGTTGGGGAGAACTTTGGCGGACTGCACGCATTTCATGTCAGGTTGATTGGACGAGTGGTGGACGGTGGACAGTGGATAGGGTAGCAAACTACTCCAAATGGGTTGATGAACATCCCAACAATCACCATTGTAACACTTTCAGGATGTTACAGCAACCCCCAAAAAGATAGATTTCAGATGATTTTAGTAACATTTGAATCTAAAATAGTGATATTCAATGATCTTCATTACCTTTCGGCATTTTGCTTGGTTGCCAGAACATCAGAGCAGCGTTCTCTAAACTGCCCCACCCACCAAGTGGGGTTGCTTCGTAGCGTCCGGCCGGACTATGACTAGGTTAACGGCTTCAGCGCAGTCAGTCGCGGCAGAGGCTGATCCGATGTGAACATGGTGACTGGATTGGACAACCATGTTTTTTTTGGATCCAATAGGGATATAAGGGGGAGATAATGGGGACATATTGGGAATGTCATGGGGATCTACCCTCTGGCAATTTGTTACATACAGAAGCCATGGCTGATTTAGTTCGATGATTTTGCATTTTTAAACTGGTGATTTTCCAGTTCGCTACGTTACATTGCGATGGGGTATGTATGATCCCAAGCAACACACGTGCGTTTCTCTATGGGAAATTGGTGTCCTAAACTTTCGAACCATCCAACTTGTTGACTGGGTGTTTCTGACATAGCAAATGTTCAACAAATAATGTTTTCGGCTGTAATCTTGATTTTGGTGGGTTTGAACATTTAGGAACTTTCCCCGATTTGGATCTGAACCATGTTCACTGCTGCGCCGCCCTTCGCGCAGTTTGCGGAGCTTCGCGGCAAGCATTTCTCGGTGACTAAAGCGCAGGAGGGGCACCTGGCAGCCACCAGCAGCCAATTTGACGACTTGAGATAGATGAAACGGGCAAAATTGACCTTGAATATAATACGTGGAACAACTTAGTCTAAAATCACTCTGTAATCATTTATGTCTGCCTTCAACTCTCTAATTTTTGCCTTTTACTTCTGCAAACATGAAGGCAGCAGTTGCGGA